ATTTCCTTGCGTGGCATCACTTCGGTTTCTTCCACTGGAGCCATCGACGTTTGGCTAGCCTCAGGAGGTATTGCGCACCCGAGTGTGGCCTGCGGGGTTTGCAGGATCCCAGTGCGGATGGTGTTTGTGTGTGTGTGTTTATTCTTGCAAAGGCGGAGCCCAACGAATCAGCGGGCACCACAACACCCCCGCAACAACACCCCAGGGCCCAGTTTCAGCTGTCCTAAAGTGCCCTGTGAGTCTTTATGGATGGCCGCACAAAGCCCCAATCTAACTTGCCATGCAATTCTATCCATGGACGATGTGGGAGTCCGCCCAACCTCATTTGACAAGAGGGGCCTTGACGCAAGCAAATGGCACACAGCATACAACTGACGCTGCCAGACGGCCTCAGGTGATTGAAGCCGGCATGATTGCCAAGTTTGCTTGGCCCTCAGCTTCCAGGAAAGAGACGCATCTTCGCGGCCGTTTTGTGAATGTTTCGGATATGTCGACTTGGGTTTGTTGAGCAACGATCTACAACACTCATGCTTGCCCCTGCCTCCTTCGGTTTCGGATCTGCTTCCAAAGGCAGCCCAACATTGCCCACCTGACAAAGGCTCATCCCGGAATAGCAACGAGCTCACTTGGGTAGAACGAGCTCGCCCATGCAGGCCCCGTTGCTGATGGCTTCCCTCTTCCCATCTCAGGTACAGGTGGCGGTGGTTCAGCCCTTCGACTTCTTCCGCACATGCCGGCAGGTGCGGCTTGGAAAACTGGAGGTGAATCAACACGCAATTGGTTGAGCACTCCCCCCCCCCAACGGGTGCAAGAAAGGCAACCATGGTCCAACAAGGTTGGCTCTTGTTGTGTTCTAGCTGACTGTAGATGATCAGATAGGATTTCCTGCATGAAGCAGCCTGGAGACGGTGGCAACAATCAAAACCTAACATTTGCGACCTCGCCCATGGTCTTGTCCCTTGCCTTTGGGAATTGACCCAAAGGCGTGCCTTCGCCGCGAGGCCGGCGTCTTGTTACCCGAGACGCAGAAGGCACATCTACTGCGCGGTCCATGGGAGGCGCCGAGGGCAAGCCAGCGATGGAAGTCACAGGCGGTTTTCCTGGGATTTCCCAGTTGTCAGGTTGGATGGATGAAGACTTGGCCCAGAGTTGCAAAGCCTACAAGTGCAAGGCATTTTCACGGAAACTGTGCCTACATTGTTTGTCAGGGCTTCCAAGCCTCTCTCAATCATTGTATTCAGGAGGGTTGATGATACATGAACCATTGCTGATCAGATAATTGGAGCATCACAAAATAATCAGAACTCACTAGCCAACCTATATATTGTCGCCATCGACCGCGTGTTCTGAAGCATGACCGCACCATCAACATACCATCAACAAACCTTCAACAAACAACCAACAACACTGTCGAACCACTGAACAACTATCACTGAAATATAGACAGACTTCAACTGTCAAGCATCTCACCTACTTATTTAAAAGCCCTTAAAGAATCTCACATTGTCTCACATTGTCTCTTGTTCTGTCTGCCATCGAACAACGGGAGGATATCGACTGAGTAGCAGCCCCTTGAACACCCTTCTCCAAATCGCGGCCCAACCTGATTTTTACCCAGCCCCCTTCCCAGCTGCTCCACTGCTACGCTTCACAGGTCATGACGTCCGAAGGCCCTCGCTCCATGTGGCGAGGCCGGTTCTCCGTCTTCCGTGAAACGGGTTGCGACAGACGTCTCTTTGGGTCAGCGGTCTCTTTTCGGACTTCACAGCGTTTCCCTTGGGTCGCTTAAACATCGCCTTTTGGGTGAGGCGGCATATATTGCCATCCATGTGATGTGAGGCTTCTTGCCCGCGGCGATACTTTTGTCGGGGCAAAAGTCGTTATCAAAGAGACATCATCGTTCGGGTCGTCAAAGGGGCATCGAGTTGGCTTGATGGGCATCCTTTAGGCTTCCGCATCTGCCTCCTTTTTGGCCAGACTAATAGATTTTCGCGGTCTCTATATGCTTCCTTGATGGTTTTAAGCATCACCAAAATTTTGGGATATTCAGGTTAGTTTCCTTTTGGGGTGATGTTTGGTTGGGACGCGCCAACCCCGTCCGGCCACGCAGGGTTCATCCCCACAGTGCTGCGGGACGTACCGGCGGCCGGGCTCTACTGGCCGGACACCTCGGGATTCGTCGCGTCGCCTTTCCCGAACGATCCACGTCCGTAGGTGTCCGTTTTAGGTTAGTTTGTTTGCAGATAGAATTAGATGGCACTGGTTTAGATGGGTGTTGTTCCATCTACTCAGGGCCATGTTGTTTTTCCCCAAAAGGTCATCTATGTCCATGAAAGAATGTGTACCAACATTTGACTCATTCGTGTGGGTGAATATTGTGCATTGGATTGTTTGGGGTTGGGTTTATGGAAACCCAAAAACCAAGTTCCCCCAAATTGGTTGGTTTCGATTTCACCCGTGTTTCCTTCGGGATCCGCATGAATACAATTGAATACAACACCTGGTTGATTTTGTTTGGGGCATTGTCCCTTTTCAGAGGGAATCGATCAGGATCACTTTTCGGCCGAGCCTCTATTAACCCACCAGGTGCATCAATCCGGGGTCGACATAGCCAGAATTGATGATTCGGGGTGGGGATTGTAACCCCTGGTGGTCTAGAAATTGGAGACCAATCTCTTTCCTCCAAACCATCAATCCAAAACCAAGAAAAAATCAGTCTTGCCTGGAAATCAGGCAGTTGAGACGCTGAAAACTTAATTATTGGAATTGGTAGTGTGCCCAAGGACGCGAGAGGGAAACACTCAAAGTACCCACACACACACATTATTGATTAAGAAGACAAGCAAGTAATATGTCGCTCTGATGAAGAGACAGGGCCCCTGGGGTTATCAAACATCGGAGTAACTGGATATGGTTGTCCCTTCAGCCTGCCACTTGACGGGTGACACCAGGAGAACAGAAAGAGATTCAGATCCGAATTCTGGCCAACTGCGCAAAGGTGTTTCTTCCAACCGAAGTCAGGGACCCCTCCTTGGTCTTATTCTGGCTTCTCTAGAAACAACTCAAAGGGGATCCCTTTCCAATGTTAGCCTCCCCCGCAACGCGAATGGAGGATGTGGCCGGAGAACTCAGGGGACTCCACAACCCCTTTGTTTGTAGATTACATGAAAGAGCCCCTGTGAAAAAAAAACGGTTCTTGGCCCAAGTCTGCGAACTCCCAGGGTTGTCGGCTTTCAGGAAACCCCAACCCTGGGGTTCGGGGGCCTTAAAAAGAAAGGCCTTTAGGAAGCGGCTGTGAAATGTGGGGAACGTCCTTTGTTTGCAAGCTGGACGCTTTGAATTGGGTTGACAGCCGCATTAGTAGCCACATGGCTTTGCACTGCTTGTGGCTGAAAAGTACGCTTTCCAAAGCCTCGCGAAAACCATGTAGACATGTTGAAGCTGGTCAATGCTCAAGGTCTTCAACTTTGTGCGATTTCTAGAGACATTGATCATGGGCTTAGCAATGGGACATCGACAAGGGAAAAGCGTGAAAATACCGTGAAATTGGCGTGAACGCCTTTTTTTTGCAGTGAAAGACCGTGAAACGCCGTGAAATTTGGCAGGCGAAAAACCACTCGCATTCGTCCTGGCTGGCGTTGCTTTCTGCTGGGTTTGAAAAGGTCTTGCTGAATGGATGTTTCGGGAAGACCATGATTGTTCCATTGATGATGCAGAAATGTGCTTCTTTAACATTGAGGCCTTCGCAAGTCTAGCTTGGTGTGGAAAAGGCTCGTTGCTGACGATGTAAAGTTGGAATTCCACCCAGGCCCCCATCCCCCAGCTAGTCAAACAAAGGATGTTCATGTAACGGCCTTTGTTTTAAAAGCCTTTTACCCCCCACCCAGGGCCAACACGAGGTTTTTCTCAGGGGTGTTGGTTTCCCCATGGCATTCTGCTGTGTTCCCACCGTAGGTACAGCTACATGAAGCTGACTGAGACGTCCGAGGAGGATGTGCTGCAAGCCGCAATTTTGTTTTTCGGCTGTGAAGAGGACCTTTGTAGTTTCCACTTGGCAATAGATGTGGTATTCCTTTTTGGCCCCTTGCCTTCATTTCTTGGCACTAGTGAGAAAGGACGTCTCAAAGATGTAGCTGACTGGTCGAACCGGTTTCACTTTGGTCCTAATCACTTACGAACTTACGAAGCTTTTCCACAGGGGCCGAGGAGAGCAGCCACTGGTTGTGGACTGTTTCTTTTAGGTGGCGGTAATCAACCAAACGGTATCAGCCCTCGGATGGAGAGAGGCTTTTAGAGTGAGATATAAGACAGCTTCTCAGAGAGGTAGAGGCAGGCCTTGTACTTTAATCCATTGGATTTCATCCTTCCCTTATTGTGTGGATATGGCACCAACGAGTATCCTTCTAGTTGTAGGGTCACTGGCAGCTGGGCCTTTCTGAACTGGTTTAGCCAGTTTTTGGCCTGAAGGCTACGTCGAAAGAGCACAAGTGAGTGTCCGGACACCAACAAGGCAAATCCAGCTCGTTTTCTGACTTTCCAGGTCACTTGCAACTGGATTACTCTGCACATAGAGCCCTGCAAAAAGGTCAGGGTCATTCCCAAAGGAATTCCTCTAAAAGGCGGCAGTGTGTTGGGTTCTACAGTTCCATGCTAGTCTGCTTTGGAGGCAGAATCTCTCCCCAAGAGTGAATGATTCTGCTTAAATGGGCCACCCCCCAATGGATCTGGGTAATTTGCGGCTATGAGTTTCAACACGGAACCGGCGGAGGTATTTTGCTCCCAAACTCATGTCATGCGCACGGGAAAAAACACCCTCAAAACCTCACGTGAGCCACTTGCTCGGAACCCGGGTAGATGAAGATTAAGGGACAGTAGCCAACAGTTGCCTTTTTCTATTTCCTTACATGGTTCTGGGTCAAACATTTGAATACCGGGTTTTGAGCAAGTGCCTCACATGGGTTCCACGATGCGCAAACCGCAGGCCTTTGGCTCATGGCGCCATGGCGCCGGTGGAGGCCGAGTGCGGACTGTGCACCGAGACCCTGTGGCAGCCCGTGACGCTGCCATGTGGAGAGACCTTCTGCCAGCAGTGCTTGCGCCAGTGGACCATCACCAAGCTGGATGAGGCCTTTTGGAGTCAAAGGGTTTTTTTGGCTTGGGGAAGATGCAAGCTTTTGGGGTCGGGGGTTCCGTTTCCGGAAGAGTCCGGCGTGCTCCTGTTGTTTGCATCGGGGGGGGGGGATGTGGCTTAGGCTTAGTCGAACTTGACATTTCCCCTGGCGCAAAACGGGTACCCTCAAAAACGACTCCCCGCCCATTTCTGGAGCGGGTTTGCTTTGCGGAGCATTTGCGGTTTCAACCCCGTCAGGGTATGGAGCGGCCCCGTTGCCCCTGTGGCTGTGGTCGGAAGCTGGACTACCGACTTCCTAGCTCCCTGGCGTGATGAGCCTCTTGACCAAGCCACAAGGGTGGAGGGTTGGTGTTGGATGTGTTGGGTCCTTGTGCTTCCTCCGGAGTCCACATGTCTCAACTTGGAGCTATGCAGGCTTGTTATATCCACCGGCAGAAGCTCGAAGCCTCCAACGTCCATACCTTAAGACTCCGGAATCACGGGCAAAGCAAATCGCAACTTACCAGGGCTTGAGACCGAATTCCACCAGTTTTCGTCTGATTCTTCCGGATGATAGAAACGGACAACATCACTAGTACTTGTATTGCATGGTTCATGAGCACTGAAAACCAAACTTCATTTGGATTCAGGGACGATCAAATGAATGGGCTGGTGTTGGAGATGTCCCTTGACACCAGATGACCGGTTTTTTTGAGCCACAGCCACCACTTGCCTGACGTGCTTGGCCCTTGGCTCCTTTTAACACCTCAGGCGTGAATCTGCTACTGCGCACGTTGATGGAACACAGCCATGCGGAGCAGCTGGCCGAGCGGGAGAAGGAGGAGCACGCTTCATCCATGTTGAAACACCTGGCGCGTGTCTGTTTTAGGGGAGCCCGTCGCCCTCCGAAAAAGGAGTTTCATGTCAAAGCCACAAGGAAGGGGTACCCTCAAAGACAGAGACAACCAACTCGTCCGGAGAGAGACTTCTTCTGGCTGCTCGAAATCCATCACGCTTGCCCTTTTTGCCGTGGGCTTAAAGAGGAACCTAAAGGAAACCGTCCGTTCTTTGGGCCCCGTGGTTTTGGCACATAACCAGGCTGTCCCTTTGGAAGATCTTCACATCAGGGTTTCTCGGAGCCTTTTGACGGGTCCTGCAATTCCATTGGAAACGGGCCCCCGTCTTTGTTTCACATCTATAACGACCTTCAAAACAGTCCTACACCCTTGGATGTTAGATCAAGTCAATTTGGAACATGTTGGACCGAGAGCTCTCACACACACACACAGGTGTGCCCAAGGGGGCTCGTCCGCCGCAAATCTTGGAGGTTCAACAACACATCATGTGTCTATTTCTTTTCCAGTCACAAAGCCCTCGGAGGTTTCAATCCCCCAGCACTTCCACGCAGTTGGTTTCTGTTTTCCCAGTCAGTTCTATCTTTATGATGAAAGCACATGGTTTGCCTCAAAGTAGGGGAAGCCCTCAACGGTCGGGCTCCCTTGTTTGGTTCCCTTTAAACAATCCCTTTTCCGGGTAACATATTTGGACTGTGGAGCATCTCTTCAGTGGATACCCAAATATTGCGTGTGGAGCAAGCTAGGCAGGGTTTGGTGGCTGGATGTGGTTGGCTCACCTGCTGCATTCAGGGAACCGGACCAGCGCAACTACAAAATGTGTGATTTCTGTTGGTTTTCCTTGAAAGGGTTGGTTCACTTGCAATCTTTAGAAGTAATATTTCGATTCTGGGTTGCCCTGGTAGCCTACTGACGACTGGCAACACAGGAGGACAAGTATATATTATATACATATGATTGAAGTCTTGTGTTTATTAGAGTGAGTGAGTCGGCGCCGAAATGCGCGAGCTGGTTTCCAAGGTAGAGGGTGGGTGCATGTCTGCGTGTTTCAACATGGCTTCAAGGGCCAGAGAACGAGAACCGCAGAGATTGGGCCAAGCGAAGGTGCAAACTTCTGGAGAATTTCACTGGTTTGTGGGGGGAATCTGGGTTGACCCTGTTTTTTGAGGAGGTTTTGGAGGATGTGTGATTGGCTTCTGGAGGGGATTTCGACCGCTCTAAGGGGGATTTGGCCGGAGTTGGACAGGTTTCCAGAGATTTGACAAAAGTTGGACCAGTCTTTAAGGGGATTTGACTGGACTGGATGGGAAGTTGACCGGTTTCTAGCGTGATTTGATCGGTTTCTAGAGGAAATTTGAGGGGATTTGACGGTTTTTCCAGGACCGGCAAGATCCCTTTCTACAAAGAAATCTGACCGCTTCCCGGCCCTGGAGCTTCCAGGCTTTAGGCGGACCGGAGGCAGCTGCAGGGCCTGGCATGGCGGGTGGAGGATCCCAAAACGGCCCGGGGCCGAAACATATTTCTGGGAGCTTCTGCCATGTGTACCTCCACTGAAAAGGCTATGACCTATTGAACCCTCTTGTTGGGGCTTCTCCTAGCATTATCCACCCCAGAGCCAGGTTGTATATGTATATATACATAGATGCATACATACTATTTATATATAGAATTTGTGTTGTGCTCCGCAGGAGCGCGAACAAGAGGAGCCTGAGATCCTGGGAGGTCTCAGTGCCTGGCAGGAGGTGGCAGCTTCTCAGGACTTTCTCTGACGGTTTGGGCCTCGAAAGTGGGATTTGGGGAAGTGGCCACGGTTTTCTACGAAGGGGGCTTGCCTTGAAGCTGGGGTAAGCACGAACTCACAAACATGGATAAGTGTATGAGTTATGTAAACTCCGGACCCCAAGAAACTGCCGTCACAAGTCTTTGGCCTTTGGGTACTGGTTGTAGGTGTTTGCTCATGTTCCAGAGGGCCAACTTGGGTTTTCAACAATGAATCATGAGAAGTCCGACTTGGAGGTCGTTTAAACGTTTTGGCGCTGGTTTCGGCTGCGACGCTTTCGCCTGCTTGTTGGTTCGCCTTGGATTTCAGGGAAGATGTCAGGAAGGCGTATGATGGGTCCCGAACCCTCAGCCAGCCCTCATGTAGTGTTTAAGATGTGATATGCAATGTGTAACTTGTAATGCATTATTCACTATGCCATATGCAGTATGTAACATGTGGGTTCGCTTGAATCAGGAGAAACATCCCCCCCCGTGCACCAGCCCTGGGGTAGAAGGGGGTGTATACACGTGTTTTTCTATAAACCCCGTCCCCGTAGTGAAAAAGGGTAGTGGAAGTCATCTTCGCAAGATCAGACAACTTTTCAGGGCGTCTTTTTGGATGGTACTCTTTCTGGGTTGCTTTGTCCCCAACTTTCAGACAAAAAATCATTGGTGATTTGGATTGGTGGTTTGGAGATTCGAGCAGCTGGTTCCTGTAGAGGGTCAACGGGAGAACACACCCCTTAACCTCAAACCACCTATCCCAATCACCAATTCGGGCCAAGGTGTGTCACTCGGATCGTGGCAGGACCTCTTCGTGAACGGGCGCATGGTGGTGGCTTGGGGCACCAGTGGGGTGGTGCTGTGCAACCACGAGACCACCCATGTCAAGGCCGCTTTGGCTGCGGCAAGATGGAATTTGATGTTGTTCGGGGGCTCGGTGATCTGTTTGGAGGAAGTCCAGCCACCCGTTGGGTTTATTGGTGCATGAGCTCATGTTTGGATGTGGTGTGGCACTGGAAGTTCCCAAACCTTTACTTGGTACCATGTTTCAGGTTGGTTTGAAGGGACACCAAAAGGACACCATGTTGGTTCCCTTTTGACACATCACTTGACAAATTTTCATCGCGGCTCAGTGTTCCGGAGTTGGCCATGGCGCAGCTGAGTTGGCCCCGGGTCCGGGGAAAGCCGGACACCCAGCTGGGATGGATGAAGCCCAACCGGTGCCGGAATTGGTCCATTGGCCGGGGAAGAAGAACCTCCAGTACAGATTCTCGATTGGAGAAGAACTTCAAACCCAAGACCTGACTTCGAACAGCCGCCCCCAAAAAGTAATAATTGTTGATTTTGTTCCCACCCACCCACTTTCTTGGATTCTCGCCCATAGATTGCGAAATCAAAGAGATTCTAGTAGACGCTTTCCAGGGTGATGGCCGATTTGGCTTCGTCGGGTCTAGGTGAAGTTTGACGCCTGTCTCTCTGGCTCCGGCACCTTCAATGTGAGCGTGGGGGAAATTGTGCCACAGCTGCCCTCCAGCTTTGGCTTCAAGATCGGCCAGGGGGTGCTTTGGAATGGAGGGCAAAGCGTGTTGGTTCTTGATGTTTGTTTGTGTGCAATGTGATGGGATACAGTGTAACGTACTGTTCTGTTATGTGATACGACGGTTTGTGTGTATGTATGCTTGTTTGTATGTTTACGCGTTTGTTAGTTTGCTTGTTGTCATGTTGATGTTTGCGCATGTATGTGTGGCTACGATTTGTTCGAATTTTGCTGGGGCGAGTCATTGCATTGGCACGCTTCTCATTTGGAGGTGGCCAATCGGGAGTCAGACACTCGAAGGGGAGTCAGACACTCGAAGGGGAGCAGCAGTTCCAGGGATTGAAGGATGGTCGAACCGTGTTTCTCTTTGGAGGGCACCCGTGCTTTGGGCTTGCTTTAGAGTGAAGCCACCATACTCGTTTCAGGGGTTCCATTTGGAGACCCCACCTAACCCCAATAAAGCATAAGTTATCAGTTGAGCATCCAAGACCGAGTCCTGTTGGCCATAAGCAGGGGGGTTTACCAGGTCTTGGGGTTTGGTCAGCTTCCTCATGCTTATGACCATCTATATGGGTGAACTTCAGAAGTCCTTGTTTTTTTTTGTCGGGCGCCTGCCTGTTGTGGTTCAGTTTTCGTTGAGGTGGTGGCTGGACTGAACCTCATGATCGGCGATGAGCTGGTGGTAGCTTTTGGCAGCCCGGGCACAATCTTGGCGAAGTCGACTTTGGAGGCGGACCAACAGCACGGCACTCTGTAAAAGGATGTTGAAACCAAAAGGAAACCGTTGCCATTTGGGGATTTGGGTGCATTTTGAGAGAAGAACTTGCTTGGCGGTTTGGATGTGTTGAACTTCTGGTTCTTGAATGGGAAAACAGCCCCGGAACACCTCCAAGCCAATCTAAACCAATGAGAGGGAAGCTGAAACACATGGAGAATCCAGCTGGATTTGCAGAGAGTCCCTAAAAGGGTGCTGGTTGCCTAAAATGGGGACCCAACTAAAGGGAGCAACGGCACAAACAACTTGTGCAGGTCACTTTTAAAGTGGCTATGTCCAAAGTTGTGCGACCCCTCAAATTAGCCGACTTTTCAAACGCGGTTTCCCTTCAAACGAAATACAGAATCATGGACACGCCCTGAAAAAGGGGGGGGTCCTATTTTTGGGACACACACGCACACCCACAAAGGCCCCCAAAGACTGTGGTCTGGATTTGCCGTTGCAACCACATCATTCCTCGGCTGGGAGGGCCGCATCGTGGTGAACTTCCACTGCACCGTGGAGGGCGCAGAGAGGAAGCCCGCGCCTCAGCGACCGTAAGCCCGACGACAGGGTTCCCCTCGTTTTCGGGGTTCCCTATATTTCCATTTCGGTGTCTTTTTGAAGGGGACCCCACAAAATTGGTTTCCTTGTGATTTTTTCCCTTTACGGCCCGCCACAATAGAGGGGGGTCCCCCAAAAAAACAACACAAACATTATTATTATGATTATTATTTCCCTTGTTTAGCGGCTTTACATATTATGGGGACCCCCGCTCGAAGCAGATGGGGCGCTGGTGCGATAGGGTGCCTGAGTTGGAATCCAAGTGGTGGATTCCTGTCAGGGCACTAAGTTGATTCCCAAAACCGGAACCAACAAGCACTTCGGGGCATCGAATGATGGATTAGTGGTTAGCTCTTTGATGTGTTGGGGTGGGCTAAAACCTTTGCAGTGCAGCCTCGCTCAATTGAGCGAGGCCCAACCCGCGAAGAAGTGGGGCCAATCAGAGAGATACATGTGGTGGGGAGACCCCATGGAAGCCGAGTTTTTGGACGCCCGTAAGTTGTTGGTTTGCGGTTTCCCTCAAAGCAAACTGGGTAGCCTCCAATCCTCAGAACAGCCGACAACTCACTTGCAGGTCGGTCACAGTCCACAGTCCCCGTAGGTCTGACCTCTTATATAGGATCTAGCGTGGGAGCGAATGAGGGAGTTCATGTTGGGAAACACTCGCGTGGTGATCCATTTGTTCACCCCAAACTGGGTCACCCAAGGGCGTCCACTCGACAGCTCACTCCCGAAAGTCCAGGCTGGACGTGCAGGCCTTTGAGCTCCAGCCCAGCCACGAGCTCCTAGGCGCGCTGAAGTTGGTTCGAATTCGATTGAGTTTTAAACTGCCGCGTGGTCCTGGGGTAATTCTATGAAGAAGAAATCCGATTGACTTGGGGTAGATTGACATGTGTGCTGCCTGTCTTGGGTCGAAAGATGTATCTGAAATGTTGACCGGCCATGGGTTTGTTTGCAGGAAGACAGTGCAAAATGGGGGCCGGGGTTTCCCTTAAACTGACCCCAAAAAGGTCCCTTCAAAGGTCACATCCCTGTGCCTGAGATGTCTCTTTTATTTTCCCTGTGTGGGTTCCCCCAATCCACTCGGCCGTTGCCCCAAAAGGTTTTGTCTTCTTTTTGGCCCGCCCCTAACACAAGCTTGCGTGTTTTTCGTGTTGGTTCCCTTTAAAACCACCAAGCATGGAAAAACCGACACCCAAGAAGGGTCCCCTATTTCTCGCCGGGCTGGTTACTGGCTCCCCCTTCAGGTGGCTTCAGGGCCGCGCAGCGAGTCCAGGCCACACAGGACATCCTGGGCCCTGGCGCGCCTCGATGCAGGGCTCTTGCGCCCCAAAACCACGCGCCATTTTAGTGGGTGGACAAAAGCCGCGAGAGAAGCGCTGATTCACTCAGGAATAATATGGATTGGGGTCGGGGTCACTCTTCAAGGCGGCTTCGATCTCGCTTGCGAATGTGTTGGTGGTTTTACTATGAACACCACCCATGAATCAATCGGGGGTTTGTTCTGCTGGGTCACCTTGATGTCACGTACCCCGGATTGGGGCCTGGTCCAATTTTATGTTCCCCTGTGTAAATGAGACCTTCCTCGCCTCCCCCCCCTGGTGAAGCTTGGTGTTTCTTGTTTTGGAGAGGAAACAAGGGTCAGGTGGCCCTTAGTTTGGTGTTGGGGATTGAACCCCTGTAAAGGGCAATTGCGAAGCCAAGCCCGGAACACCAAGCAAAACCACCAATCCAAACCACCAATGAGATGGAAGCTAATTAAAAGGGGGGACTGAGACAAACCCCGTCCAAGGAGGTGGTCCTGGTCCAAGCCGGCACCCTGGGCACGGTGCACTCAGAATACAGCGACACTCGCCTGGTGGTGAGCTTTGAGTCCCGTTTGGATGGCAGCCCAGACGCGCCTCGAAAGCAAGGGCTTTTCTGGGCGCATGTTTCTTAGTCAAGATTTATTGACCGTCTCCCAAAAAGGTATGGAGAACTGGTTCTTCTTTCAGACCCCTTATTTAGCAGCCAGAAATGTTACGTCCGGACTCCGGTACGAATTGGAGTAGTCCTCCTGCAATGAATGAGTTCTTCAATCTGGCACCAGTCCTGATCAGGCCTCAATGAATGCGAAGTTGACATCATTTGGCGACCCTTCTTGGTTCCATGGAAATTGTAGGGAGCATAGGGGACAACAGGACGTCTTTGAAATGCCCTTCTGCCAAGGCTGTCAACCTCTGCCCCCAGAGCATTGAGCCTGCATAGCCGCCGAGCCAAAAAGTCGAGAAGTCCTGGAGACGAACTCGCGCGCGGACTCGGAGCTCAGAGAACTTGAGAAGCCCTCCCTAGCCGTCGGTCTGAAGCAAAGTCGGCCGGACCCAAAGGGCACTGGCGATGCGCGGCTCTCACAAAGGAAAAAAACGGCCCGGGACTCGGGTTGAACTGGCATTCGAAGTGTGCCCTATGCTAGGATACAATGTCATCGGCTTTTTCTTGGTCCCTGCTTCCCAGTACGTGCATAACACCATGGTGAGCATGAAGGATGCACTTAAAGCTCGTGAGTAGTGCAAATATCATGACACTGTAAGATTCGTGCATTGATCCTGGCATTCATCACCACAGCTTGGCAGTTTCCACGGGCGAGTGTCGTGGACCTCATGGCTTGTTGCACCATTTGGCATCCCTCTAGCATTCTGCTCACAAAATGGGCCAAGCGTGTGGTGTTTGAACAGAAGGATGGGTGAACGGGGAACCCATTCCATGAAGGTTGTTCAGAGCAACTTTAGGTAACAGGGTTTGGAATCGACTACTCAAGTATCACATGGAGGTACTCCAGGATCCCAGTTACAGTGTATGCCTTGGGATGTGATTTGAAGTCCACTTTAGCCCTAGATCTCACTTGCCAGGTTGCCAGCCATTTTCCTCTTGGCTTTTGAAGGGCAATTCTCGGTTACATAGAGGGAAATGTAGTCACTGGGTTGCTCTTAGTGCCACTGGATCATCGATTTTTTGTGTTTGTCAGGACTTCGACCGAGCTGCCATGCAGCAGCGTGCGCTGCGCTGCGCTGGCATAAGCTCTGCCGGGCGCCCTTGTTGGGTTTGCTTGGAGGTTTGACCCTTTTTCTGTTAGATCGTAATTCTATATTCTATTTAAATAACATTTGTGTTTTTTGATCCCGCAGCTGCATGAGATCCGATTTGTTAAGAACACGAATGACGTATTGTAAAGCTTTATATATGGAGACTTGTGAACACTGGGGCTGTCCTGAAACGGAGTCCTCATGGAGTAGCCTTACAAACAAATCAGGCAACTCTCTAATTATTTGGCCATGCTTATAGAAAGCAGCTCTGTGAAGGTTTCCTTTGGTTTCCCCCGAAGCAAACAGTAATGACCCGCTTTGAGGATATCGCGACTTTCAGTACATCGATGATTTGTTGCATGTGTGTGTGTGTGTGTCTCGCTTTTGGGGTGTGAATTTCAGGACACGGGCCAAGTTGGGGGCACGTCTCCAACTGTTGTCGCCACAGCGCTTGGTGGAGCTTGAAGACGTGGAAAGTCACGACCACCTGACGCGGAAGCTGGTATGTGGAGGCCAGAGCAAAGAAGCATTTTTCTGCATTGCCTGGAACTCGCCTGCTCCGCATGGGATCCCATTCCACGTTAATTTGCGGGGGAGCATCGATATGTGAATGTGCCTTTTATAGGGGTTCTTCAAGTTTCACTTGGGCACGTTCTTGTTGATGATAAACCATTTTGATCAATCCAGCATATCAGATACGAGTGATCTGGGATTGCAATTTCAAGAGAAACTAGCGCGACCACTTTGGCATGTATCGAGACAACAGTGACGAACCGACTGTTTTTTAGAACAGTGACCCCCTTTTTTGTGGCAGCAAAACCGGGTTCCGGGATCCCTTCTACGATCACCGAAAAAGAAGGAGGTTGCTGGGTTTTGGGACACTGCTGGAAGCGTTGACGTTCCAGATTGAATTGGAGATGAATCGGAGCGCCTGTAGGCTTGAACAAAAGGCCACCACACCGGGGTTGATCCCCCAGTTTTCACGCACAGCCACCTTTGTGTGTGTGTGTGTGTGTTTGTTTTGTTTGTTTGTTTGCTTGCTTGCTTGCTTGTTTGTTGGTCTAGGTCTGGTTGGCTTGGGTTGGGTTGTTTGTTTGTGTGTTTCGTTTTGGGGGAGCGTAAAGGGAACCCAAAAGGCAAACCAGCATTTTTGGGTGCCCCTGTTGAAATACACACCTGCTTAATTTTGCTGCTTGGCAACTCTAAGGAGTCTCCCTGGGGAAGACTTTAAGGATTTTCTAACTTGAAGCTGAGGGTTCCCTACGTTTCTGTCATCATGTTTTTAATGGGTCCCGGACTCAGTAAGGCTTACGCTCAAAATACGTGTACCCCCAAAGTGGGCTGTTTCCTTTGGTTTCCCTTTCAACCAATCCCAAACAGGGCCGAGACACGGTACGTTGCTCCTTTGCTTTCGCTAGGTCTGTGCCGCAACAGCCGCGTTGGTCACCCAGCCCTTTGATGTGGTGAAGACCAAGATGCAGGCCACGAGTCGTGCAGTTTTGGCTCCTTCGCAAAGCAAAGCAAACAGGACCACTTTGGAAATGGATCTCGAATTAGCTGTTGTGAATTAGTGGTCCTGTTCCACTTTCGAAATGCATTAATGCAAGGGCTTCTCTGTTGTGCATTTGGGAGTTTGGGCGTTCGTTTCCCTGCCATCTCAAAAGCGTTTCCGGAAACGCCCACACCAAGATGGAGCCCGAGCCGAGAGATTCAGGTTTGTGTCTAGGGGATCCCTGGGTTTGGTTGCCTGCAACCAAATAATAGAACCGGTACCATAGGTGTTCTTTTTAGGTTCGTATGGTTAGAAATAGATGTTTTTAATTCCATTTACCAGGACCATCTACTTTGCCAAAAGGTCACCTATGCCCTCAGCAGTTGTTACAGTCGAGTCGCCCAGATCCACCGGACCATCACTTCCAAAGCAGATGGCTACCGGCACTTCAAGGCCGTTTCGGGCACGTCGAGCGCCCGTGCCGAGCGTCTCCAAGCCCAGGGAAAGGGTAGATGTCATTTTCGTGTGTGCGTGTCTTTTGTTTCACCTCCTGAGTTTCAGGACAAGCTTAAAACAACCTTAGTGGCAAACAGCAACTTTGGCTTTTTCTTGGCCAATCCACTCAGGAACTGAGTTTTGTTCTGGTGTCGTTTTTTTGGTTATTGTTGGTGTTTTTTCTGCTTCTTTTTTTTTGGGAGGGGTGTCAAAAAACGCCACGGGAAAACTACGCTCTTTTTGTCGGGTCCTTCATTTTGAGAAAACTTATTTGTTGAAAAGGTAGATAGGGGCAGAGTCAAAGGGTCATGTTTGGGGGGAATTGAGGGAAGAAAGCTCCCAGCTAAGAACGCAAAGAAACTCTCACATTGGTGGTGGACATACTAACTGCAGCACCTTATATCGCCAAAGGGTCCATTCCCAGCTTAAACTACCTCATTTATCAAAGAAGCAGTTCTAGTCCGAGATGCTAAGAGGGAACATTTGAGCAATGCAACTCAAGCAGACTGCCGTTAGATGGCGTGAGCAATACAGGTAAAGCAGCTGCCGTTAGATGCCGTGGGCAATCGGTCTGCTTGTCTTCATGAAGACACGCTGCTACACATATTACATATGCTATTCTATATCTTGTGATCTACTTCTTTGTCTCGCACCATGTCAAGGGGACTCATCCAATGTCATCCCACGTGTACCTTTTGATCAACTTGCAACATAGCCAAGGGGCCATCATTCTCTCAATAGACATGCGCAAGCCACAGCTTGCACGGCTACGAGTCATGACGCTCTTGCTAGCAACCCTGACGCCCAGTTGTCAATTGATAGCCACACCAATCCATCCCAGCCAACCAGGTGCTCCAGGTGCTTAGACCATGGGGCCGACAGGTGTGCAGTATTCTCTCCTTGGGTGCTACTCGCATTTCCCACATACATGGGCTACAGAGGTTGTAAGGGCCATTCAGGGCACCCCAGCAACCAACCTGACAATGCTTTCTCTGTAAGTTCTTTTGGGCACACAGGACCTCCATGTCAACTCCGCTCGCGGCCTGCCAGGCAGCGCGTGTGTGGCGGACCTTAAAGGAGACCGCAGCCATAGGTGCGGCCACCAAAGCCGGCTGCAAGTGGACATGGTGGCAGGGAATCCTCCAACATCCCCGCTTCCGATCCTCGCGAATTTGCTTGCCCAACCACAGTGATGTGGTAAGTGATTTAGCGCCTTTGTTGGGCGCTGGAAGACCCTCCAATATTTGTCTGAGGGGGGATCATCCACTCACTTGCCAGCAGCTTTTCACCTTCCAGCGAAACCAGGAAGACATTCTCCATTTACACGCGGCGTGGCAGGGGCTGCGCACTTCGCAGGGTGTAGTTCCCTTCAAACCCAGCTGCAAAGGGTATGCTCAAAGCACAGACCCATTTTGTAGACGCAGATTTGACCCATCGGGGACACTTTGCCGGCTCCGAAGCCAAGGGAGGCCTGTGACTCTTGTGAGCTATGGTTGGGCAACATCTTGCTCGAAAATCGGGAGAGCTTTCGGATTTTTCCCAGGGATTCTTTCCAGAAATCCACAAAGCATCCTGCGGCGTAATTGAAAGTCATCCAAACAAACGGTGCCGCGGTGTTTTTTCCCCATGGAAATCCACTGCACCGAAATCGCACAGTCTGCTTCGCTAGGCTGGCGAAGCCTCTGGGTGGGCGGTGTGGCGCGGATTAGCTGCGCGGGGGCGGCAGGATTTCTGCTAGGCCCGGGGCTTCCGGGAAAACGACGGATCGGTTCCAGGGCGGCGGGGCGGGGGGGGGGGGGGGTCTGGGGGGCCCGGAACCCACAGAGGGCACATGAAATGACAGAAGCGAACTCACGTCTCCAAGGAGTTCCCCGCACCCTCCAAGGATTACCTGAGAGCTTGAGGTCCTAATTTTCAGGCGGACGGATCAGAGCCTTTTGGATGGGAGACAATCTGGAAGTTGTCCAGGTTCATTTCAATGCACGCGTTCTTGAAAAGCCACTTGTGTGGGGATTGCGGGAGAACTGTCGACCACAATTTGTTTTGACCTTTTGGAGCAAGTGTTAGGTTCTAAACGACAATGGTGTTGATTTGCAGTGCTTTTCACAGATTCAGGACAGATCTGCTTTGACTCATGCGAGTTGACAAAAAGTCGGGGCAGGGGGTTTGGGACCCTGTTGCGTGCCTTCGCGCGATTC